TCGGATGCATAGACAAGGTCTTGACGGACGTCCACGAAAAAATTTGGCATTTTTAACATCGGAATCTTGATCACCCAAAAAATGGTTTGCTATATCACACGAAAATGGTCTAAATGAGGGGTATGCTCGCTTCGGGGCTCGTTTGACCTTCCAAATGAGTCAGACAAGCCGTGATGGCCAACCGGATGCATAGACAAGGTCTTGACGGACGTCCACGAAAAAATTTGACATTTTTGACATCAGAATCCGGATCACCCAAAAAATGGTTTACTATAGCACACGAAAATCGTCGAAATGAGGGGTATGCTCGCTTCGGGGCTCGTTTGACCTTCCAAATGGGTCGGACGGGCCATTATGTCCAACCGGATGCATAGACAAGGTCTTGACGGACGTCCAAATTTTTTTTTGGCATTTTTGACGTCGGAATCCGGATCACCCAAAAAACGGTTTACTGTAGCACACGAAAATCGTTGAAATGAGGGGTATGCTCGCTTCGGGGCTCGTTTGACCTTCCAAATGGTTCGGACAAGTCGTGATGGCCAAGTCACGTTCCGACACGGTATTCTTGGATCGGAGTGTCACGTTCCGACACGGTATTCTTGGATCGGAGTGTCACATTCCGACACGGTATTCTTGGATCGGAGTGTCACGTTCCGACACGATATTTTTGGATCGGAGTGTCACGTCCGACACGATAATATTAAAGGAAAAATATGTTGAATTAATGGAAGATATTCAATCTCAAAGAACTCAACTCCCAAAATGGTTTGTTTTGGAGGCATGAGTCCTCATGTGTGATCTTGATACCGTTGACTTAATACGTGCTTACTTTATTGTTATTGACACTTGTTCATGTTGTTTGTTGCTTATCACATGTTAAGTGCTATAGTTGAGTTCATACTATTATTCTTTGTATATTAGTTACTATTTTGGGTTGACCGATGATACTTACTCAGTACATGTTGCCTCGTACTGAGTCCTACTTGTTTTCTTCTTTGTTTTCCTTTTATGAAATGCAGCGAGTGTACCTATGACTTCTGATTTCCCTCGGCTCTAGCCAGCCTCCCGCATATCAAGTTACAGGGTGAGCTATCCATTCAAGCTCGTGTTGGATTCTCTCGGTCACGACATGATGTCCTATACTTTCGGACACATAACATTTTATTCTTTATTTTAGTGTATTCGATATTCTTAGACTTAGTATTGGAGATTAGATGTCCTTGATGTGATGACTATCCGATTTTGGGATGATAAGTATTAAACTTTAGAAACTTATTTAAATTGGTTGCTTAGTATCTTTTGGAACTTCCGCATTATTTATATTATTTATAGTTGAACTATTGGTATATGTTGGGGTTTAGATGTGTTGGTTCGCCCACCGAAGGAGGTAAGTGTGGGTGCCATTCATGACCCGTTTTGGATCGTGACAAATAGTCTTTAATATGTTTTGAATGCTTGAATAAAATTAAGAAATATTATGAAAGTGCTTAACTGCACTATTTTACTTTCTGTTTTTCTCTACTTCACATTTTGTATTCATTAGTTTTTGCATAAGTTTTTAATATATCAAGTGAGATTCCATAAGTTTTTGGTGATTGGAGTTAAGCTCATGAACAGTAGTTGTGTTGCTTATTGTTTGAAACGTTGTTGATGACTATATTGGTAAACACTTTGTCACTCTTGTTGACTTTAGTGGAACTTTGGCTTTGTGGTTTTTACTCTTTATACCGAAGAGTTTTTCACGTTAAATTGTGTTGATTTATTTTGAATGCTTTGATTGATTTGTTTGCTGCCCCAAACAGTGTTAGTGCTTGCATTATTTTGTCTTGTGTTGGTTCAAATAAAAAGGAAAGTTTTGACTCCGTTATTGCCCTGTCGTGCGTATTTGCTTTGTGTTTGTCTTTCCCTACAGAAATGACATAATCAAGAATAAATATTAGTGTTTAGCTGCACTCTTTTACTTTCTGTTTGCAAGTTGGAAATATCATTTCCACCTCTTTTTGCCTATACTTTAGATTTTTTATTCATAATTAGTTTCTTATGACAAATTCAATTATTTGCAGGTGAATAAAAGACCACATCCTAATAATTCAATAGTTAGGATTCATTGTTTTGATGAAAAATGAGATGAGTGGACTTCTTATAAAGCTTGGTCAATCCTTCTCAATTTGAGTTAGTTTTTGGGATTTGGGTTAGGTCTAAGACCTAATTTCACAGTTACAAGTTAAAATAAAGGTTAATATAGATGGGAGAGAAGTGAGGGAGGCAAACGAAATTTAATTTGCTATGTAATTCCATGTACAAACTAGACTTTATTCTGATAAAGTGTATATGTATTATGATTAGATTATGTTTACTTTATGTGATAAAGTGTACATGTATTCTGATTAGATTATGTTTACAAGTATATGATAAAGTGTATATGTATCTGATTAGAAGTTCATCTGTTCTGATAAATTGAAAATTATATGTATCTATAGAAAAGATTTCTAATCCTCGATAAATATTGGAAGAAATTTAATAATTTTAATTTTTTCCGAAGAAATTCAAAAATTCAAGGAAGAACATGTGATTCGCTCTTAAATTGATGTATTTCAGTAACATTCCATATTTAGACACATATAATTAGGGTAATTAGATGTATCCACTTATTAGTATGTTGAGATATATGTATCTTGATACATCATATGTATGTATTTGAGGCCAAAATATGATAGGGAATTAAAACAGGCAAGAAAAAATCTATGGAAAGATGTTGTATATGTCGCAGCCTTCTTAAACAAAATGAACAAAGGCCCAAGGGCTTTTATCCACCAGACATGAATGAAAGGGGATGACACCACTCTAATGATTGTCCACAAATAACTTCCTTCTTCAAATTAGATCCCTTCCATCGGTCGCATCTGCCCTGTCTCAATCGGTCGAGCTCTATCGGTCAACTATAGGAAACTGACCAATAGCCCTTCTTTCTTTTGGTAAAGGTTAACGGTCCTCTTAAAACATTGGAAAATATCCAAATCTCGGGAGAAAACATATAATTAACCTTTAAACAAGTGGAATTTTATGTTTTTGCCATTTTTCTAAACTTATGCGTGGATTCCCATTGACTTGGTTTTGGACCATACAATATATATACATATATTTTTTCATATTCTTTTCTTTTCTTAATAAAATAAAGCAAGTAATTGACGGACCATATAATATAAATATACTTGTTATTTCTTTCTTTCTTTGTCAATCAATTAACCTGTTTTCTTGCGCTTTTACCTTTATAAAGTTGGCCAATGTATTCTTCAATCTGATGACATAAAAAGGTTGTGGAAATTACAACCATTCACCTTTATATTACTGTTCAAAAAAGTTTAATAACCAATTTACTTTAATCTAAAGTAAAATCACACTTAAATAATTTATAATTTAATTTTGCTAAGAAACATACTATTTTAACCTGTTATATGGTGGGTAATGAAGAATTTTGTAATGTCTTTTAAGGCTTTTTCTATGGGTCCATTCCCATGTAGCAAATTTTGAATAGTTCTCCGTCAATTTCAAAGTTTGGCAAATTTGATGCTGATTTATTTTTCAGTTTTACTTAATTTTCAACTAAAATCTTAGCAAGAAATCTTCATAAGTGAAAAGGTTGAAACTTTGTGTTGTGATGTCACTAGTGACATCATTAGGAGTAGATTTTCCTATAAATACAGAGCTCTTGCTCATTTCAAATATGCACCAAAAAGAATTAAAAAGGAGAAAAAGAAGAGTGAGGCATCACAGAGGAAAATAATCTGTGAGGAAAAATAGAGAGTGCGATCGATATTGTAGTGAGGTGGAAAAATCAAAAGAGTGTTATTTCTTTTGAATATGTAGTGGTCTTTGGAGTTTTACTCAGACATACAAGTGTAAAATCCTTACTATAGTGATATTCGTTGCTCCTCTCGGGTCGTGATTATTTCCTTATTTAGGAGGGTTTCCACGTAAAATATTGGTGTCATTATTTCTCTTTTGTTCTCGTTAATTAACCGTATTGTTGTGTTCCACATTTATTGCTTTTAATACCGCAAATATTATTTCTGTTACGGATTTATTCCCAACATTTTCATTATCTATCATTATTATGAACAATAAAATAATTAGTGGCTTCTTTGATTTTGTTAAAGGTATCAATCAACAAATGTTCTTCCTTTATCTAACGACCTTCATTTTACCATGCATAATATATATATATATATATATATATATATATATATATATATATATATATATATATATATGATTGACCTTTTATAATACTGTAGACACAAACATTCTATGGAGAAGCACATTTTCTCTTCTACTTGTAATTTAATATTACTTTGTTGCTTCCTCAAATGGGACTGACCAACAAGCTTTACTAGCTTTCAAAAATCTTATTATTACAAGTTCCAATTATTTTTTGGCCAATAATTGGACCAAAAATGAGTCTTTTTGCTCTTGGTTTGGTGTCAGATGTAGTTCAAAAAGGCAAAGGGTTGTAGCCTTGAGTCTTCCTGGTTTGCAACTTCAAGGCACAATTTCCTCATTTTTGGCCAATTTGTCCTTCCTCAGTGTTCTCAATCTCAAGAACAACAACTTCCACGGTAGCATCCCTCCACATGCCTCACTATCTCTAAGTAACATGCCTCACTATCTCTAAGTAACATGCCTCGCTATCTCTAACAACTTCCAATTTGGTAAGCTTAAACAACTCTAAGGGCTATCTCTAAGTAACAATAAATTGCAGGGACATATTCCAGAGTCTGTATGCCATTTATCTAATTTGGTTATATTATTTATGGATGCTAATCAGATCTCTGGATTTATTCCAGAATGGTTAGAAAATCTTAGCATGCTGCAACATCTTTATTTGGGTTCTAACAAGTTTTCATAAAAAATTCCATTGAACCTTTGGAAAATGAGTGGTCTTCTCTATTTAGATGTGTCACAAAATTCTACAGAGGGAGGTTTTCCATCAGATATTGGAGTACGGAAAGCCATTGTAGAAATACATCTTTCCAGTAACCACTTTTCAGGAATGATACCAAGCAGATTGGGAAAACTCCAAAACCTGCAGCATCTTGACCTGTCGAATAATTCATTTTTTGGCCAAATTCCATTATCCTTTGGCAACTTGGTAAGCTTGGATTTCTTAAATTTGTCTTTAAATGCATTGTCAGGTACTATTCCTAAGTCTTTGGAAAAACTCTCATACCTTAAAAGCATTAATGTTTCATTCAATGGTTTAGAAGGTGAGATACCTGGTGATGATGTGTTTGCAAATCCCACTTTGCAATCATTTCTCGGGAACAAAGGTCTTTGCGGAATGCACATACTGGAGATTTCTGTTTATGCTATCACTAATCCTGGAAAACAATCAAAGCATAAGGAGGTTATGCTAAAAATTGTTACTCCAATGGTTATTTCATCCTCGGTGATATTCTTGTTGGTTTTAATTTGGGTAATGAAACGACAGAAGAAAGGTTTTTCCAAAGATGTTGAAAAGGTAACGGAGATCATGACTCATCAATTAGTTTCTTATCACGTGATTCAACGAGCAACAAATAATTTTGATGAATTCAATTTAATTGGCGTGGGAAACTCTGGCTATGTGTACAAAGGCACATTATCAAGTGGAACTGCAGTGGCCATTAAGGTTTTGGATTTGGAAAATGAGCAAGTATGAAAGAGGTTTGATATCGAATGTGAAGTGATGAGAAATGTTAGACACAAAAATCTTGTTCCAGTGATTACTACATGTTCTAGTGACTGTATAAGAGCCTTTATTCTTCAATTTATGCTCAACAGGAGTCTTGAGAATAGGTTGTACAGAGAAGATTTCCCCTTGAGTCTTCATCAAAGAGTCACCATAATGCTTGACGTGGCAATGACAATTGAATATCTACATCATGGTCATGTCACTCCAATAGTTCATTGCGACTTAAAGACAGCCAACGTTCTTTTGGATGAAGATATGGTGGCTCATGTTGGTGACTTTGGCATCTTCAAAATTTTAGCCATAAGTAAGTCCATGGCACATACCGAGACGTTGGGCACTATTGGGTACATGGCACCAGGTATACTACTTTCTTTCTTTCTCACTTATATTATAACCTTTCTATTTGATTTACTATTTCTTATCTAAATCAAGCCCTTGCAAATACTAGAACTAAATAAAAAAACATGTCTTTGTTAGTACGAGCACTATTATATTCAAATGAGTAATTCTTTTTAATTTTCATACGTCTAAGAATATGGCTCGGAGGGAATAATGTCAGCTAGTGGTGATTTATATTGTTATGGCATAATGTTGATGGAGGTTTTGACCAAAAGAAGGCCAACAGATGAAGAGATATGCAATGCAAATCTTGACTTGAGGAAATGGGTAACACAATAATTTTCAGAGAGTATGATGGACGTTGTGAATGCCAATATTTTCTCTGAGGAAGAACATATCACTTCTAAAAGTGAAATCTGCATTGCGTCCATGATAGAATGGCTTTAGACTGCACAAATGAAATGTCAGAATCAAGAATAAACATGAAAGAAGTAGTCAATGGGCTTAACAAAATCAACAACGCATTTCTAGAAACATAGAAATTTCTTCCGGTGGTGTTATTTCTGAGCTGCAAGTGAACATGTTGCTTTTTGTTTACCTGGTTTGTTGAATAAAGTCGTGTACATGTACTGTTTGTACTTCAGAGTGTTGCATTTCCCTTATTTTGTGATTTCAGATTTGAGCAGTCTTTAATATGTTTTGAATGCTGTGCTTGAATAACATTAAGAAAGTGTTTAGCTGCACTAATTTACTTTCTGTTTGCCTCTACTTCATATTTTTGATTCATTAGTTTCTTCATTCAACTTTTTAATAAATGGAATGCTTAGTTGGAGCTGGTGAATTTTGTTGGTGAATGAAAAACCAGATTCTAATAATTAAATAGTTTTTTACACCGTAAGTACACATAATTTAAGCTCATAATTAACTTTGATCGCCCTGTTTTTCAGAATTAGTCAAAGTTAAAGCTTAACAATATACTGACGATTATCAAGTACTTAAAAATGAAAGTGCAAGTAAAGAAGGGATTTATGGGAGTAGGTCCTTTAGACAGTTATGATGACAAAAGTAAATACAGAAAGTAAAGAGAACACAAAATACTTTACGTGGAAACCTTCGTGCTCTAGGGAGTAAAATCACAACCTGCCTCACAGGATTTTCAAATTGAAAATTAAATTGTTATCACTAATCTTCTCAAGCAAAAACGAAACACACTTTACAACTACAGAATGAGATTAACCTCATATCTCAATATTAAGTAATACAACCTATTATTTAACGAGCCTAAGCAATGCCTGCATTGCCCACTATACTAACCCTCACTGAGAAATATAGACTTTTTTGTAAGACAATAAGTTGCCATCAACCAAGTTCTTACAATGATTCACACAAGGCTTTGAGACGTTTCTTAACAAAGCTAAACGAATCCTACAAGTTAAGTAGAATTACAAGCAATCAAAATAATAACAGGTTCAGGAAAGCAAACCTTCAACTTATGAGGTTCCTTGTTGTTTTGTTGAAGCGTGAATTTTTCTCTCTTTGAATGAATGAATCAATATGTTTTTTGTCATGTTGAATATATCAATCATAAAGAATTATTAACCGGTGACAAACAACCTCGTCCATGATGATTGGTTCAGTACACTGACGACCTCACCAACCTCTGACATGACAACTTTCCATATGTACAACATATTGTACAACAACTTTTCTCTGCGGAACATTCTGTAGAGGACTAGACTCCTGCATTTGTGACGATCATCAAAACATCTGAACATAGTAAGATTTATCATCATTGTTTACATATCCTGAAATTGATCATAATAAACAAAAAAATTTTGTAGTGTTAAAGATATATTACATGTTTGAGGAACGCTATATGTTGTCGGAGTAAAATATCATCAACAAGGGCGTTCTAATGTGTTGTATCGATTAAGTTCACGAATTTGAGATAAGAAAACTTAAACCGCTAACATCCGCCATTGTGGTAAACCATCTCTTTTCAGGTCCCTCGACTAATTCTACCATCTCTAATTATTTTTGAATAAGAAAGAGTGAAGAGTCAAAATCACACCTAAAGTGCCTTCTATTTAACGTTTATAGTTAAACAATCATGTATGCAAATTTTCTACTTGAATTATCATCAATTATATATATAAATACATATTAACTATCAATTGTTTTCATTTGCCATCCGAACCAAGGTGATATATTAGGTAAGAAATTCACACATTTGATACTTGAGATGTATTTTAATAAATAATTAGTTATCACTCAGATTTTGAAAGCCACACACACGTGACAATAGTTTAATTATGAAACTCGAAAAAAATCGAGATACTTCAGAGACCCTCGGATAAATTATTTTATTTTATTTTTTACTTCTTTTTTTTAAAAAAAATTATAAATTTAAAAAGGAAACGAATAAAGACAGGGGTCCAAAGCGAAGATCTACGTCTACTCTGTTTCCACCCCCTCTCTCTTCCATTTTCAGCTGCTGATTTTGCAGAGAAATCAATGGCGAGTGGTTATGGGGATTCGAGCCAGAAGATAGATTATGTGTTCAAAGTGGTGTTAATCGGTGATTCAGCTGTAGGGAAGTCACAGATACTAGCTCGATTTTCTCGTAACGAATTCAGCCTCGATTCTAAAGCAACAATTGGGGTTGAATTCCAGACGCGAACCCTTGTGATACAGCACAAGTCTGTTAAAGCTCAGATCTGGGATACTGCTGGTCAAGAACGGTATTAATTCTTTCTTATTTTGACACTTCGATTCTTGTTGTGTTACTGCAAACTCGAGGTTGACTAGGTGAACTTTTACCTTGCTAGTGAGATTTCAATTCCATTTCTTTTCGTTGTTTTGCGAGTGTTTAAGTTCAATGAAATGAATATTTACGTAATTAGGTTACTTTAATTTCAATTTACTCTATTGAAATAGTATTGCTGGTAACCTAAAATAAATGGGATGTTAACTGTTATATTAGGTTAAGTTATGAATATGATGTATAAAAAAATTATTATAGTGAGTATATAACTTGAATCATTTGTACTACTACTCCCACCAAAAAGAATGGCGATTAGGAGTTAAAGATCAAACTTTTGGGTATGATTTTGAACATGATAGAGTGACGGAGGAGGAATTTTGACAAGGGGTTAAAAGAAAAGAAGGAAAGTCACGCCTAGGATTTGAACACTTGAGATCTTAAGCAAAATTTGATCCCCTTGCCACTCTACTAGAAAATTTCCTAATATCAGGGGATTCTAAGTTAAATATATTTAAAAATTTCAACTTTTACCAGTTTGCTTTGCATAGTGCAATTTTTTGATGAAAGGGTTTCGGTTGAACCCACTTCAAATTAAGTCATTTGCATGAATATACTTAAGGTGGGTTGGAAAATCTTTGGAGTGGAGGCTAAACTCTATCTTAGGTCTTTGTATGGTTTGGTTTACTACATTCAGGGTTTACGAGCGGACTACTTGAGTGAGAAGGCCATGTGGTCACAAGGATAATCCTGATGCCCTATGCATATACCAACTCCTCTTAAGATTTGGGAATTTGAAAGAATTTTACAGGTGCGCAAAACACACATCCGTGTAGATGTGATAGTGTGATTTATTCAAAAGCAGAAGAAGTATGAACGAAAATGAAATTTAGGGAAAGAGTAAATCATTATTACGTTACATGGAAAAAATTAACATAGGGAAAAAAGTTAAAGCAATGCTTAAAACAAACAAAACATTCAACTACTTAAAATTTAAATATTCACCTAATTTTGTTATGGTTAGAATCTAGTTTCCCCAATAGAGTCGTTAAGCTGTTATACTCCATTTTAACCGGGAAAAAAAGAGTACTACATATTTGAGATTCCTAGGTTAATTAACTCAAGTAGTCGTTACCTAATTAATTATGATGAATTAGAGCACCTACTTATCAACTAAATAATTAAACATTAACTTTGTTTTAAGTTCTTATTAACCTACTTAGATACTAGTAAGGTGCAAAAATTTGAAGGGGAGTTGTTGGATAAAAAATAAAGGGCTATAACTAAACCTAGAATGAATGTATGTATGTGTGTGTGCATATATATATATATATATATATATATATATATATATATATATAAAATTGAATAAACAAAATGTGATGCATTTTTCCGCAAGACAATAAATTAAAATGTTTAAAATAACTGTTGATGATAATATTAAAATGAGAATAATAGTACTCCCTTCATTTCAATTGATTTGGACTTGGCACGGAGTAAGGGACTAAGGAAGTAAAGTAAGACTTTTGAATCTTGTGGTCCTAAACTAGAAATATGTAGAATATACAAAAATGTCTTTTGATCTTGTGGTATTAAACATATCTGGTGGAAAGTTAAAATTGAAGAGTTGTAAAAAAAAACCATTCTTTTTGAGACGGATTAAAAGAAAAGTAAGGCAAATAAATTGTTTTTTTTTGAAATAGATTTTAATAAGTAAGACAAATAAATGAAATGGAGAGAGTAATATTTTGAAGTGATGATGATAGTTGCATAATGAAGGATGATCATATTAATAATATATGTAACAATGATATTAAAAACTCTTAATTGTAATAGAATAAAAGAACAAGCGTTCTTAAGTTATGAAAGGTATAAGAAGTGCAAACAAATAAGTTGGAAGAAGCACGAGCAAAAATTGGATATCAACATGCGTCTTCTAAACTCAAACTCAAATCAATGAGAAAAAGTGAACTAAAGCAAATAATTAGTTGAACTCCAATATTTAAGACTCAGTCGTCTATGCATTATAGAAGATACTCATAAAAATTACGACTTCCCTTTGACTACTAAAGGACATAAATATATAATTTTCTAGGGGTTGTTTGGTAGGAAGGATGGTATAGCCAAGGTTATCACATGATTGAGATATCCCGTGGGATCAGATATTCCCCTGTATAACTAATCCCATCATTGTAGCAGAAATGATGGAAAAATAGTCTCAGGATTTACTAATCCCCCCTAACTAGAAGCAGGATTATTAAATAATCCTGTATTTTATCCCAGGATTTTGTCCCTCTTTCCTCATAACAAACGATCCCTAAGAGTACTAACTTTGGTTTTTAATTGTCATTACTTAGTTATCTCTTACATAAATCAGAATTTTAATCTTTTAGAATTTGTTCAAAATTGAACTATCATATGTCTTGAGTAGAATCATATGGTTAGATATCATTCTAACACCAAGTTGAGTAGATTCAGGCCTAAATTTTTGACGAATCAGTTGAACTGACTGAGTTGGGTAGGCTCGGTCCTAGTTTTCTTCAATGATTTGCACCATATTCAGAATTATAGGTCTGAGTCTCAAATATCTTGGTATTGATAGTTGAATATCACCACTTGTAGAGCCAACTTCTTTTTTATTTGCATTGCCCACTTGCTTCTAATTATGTGAGGTTGAATCTGTTATATCTGGTTCCTCTAGCAACCCAGGGACTGCTTTGTGCATAAACCCTTTCCTTATGTGGGTGGGGTCCTTCTACTCTTTGCTCTTTGTTTGTCAAATGTGTTCTCTTGCCTAGCAATTGTTTGATTTACTTCTGAATGCAAAAGGCATCTGTCATGGTTATACTTAGGTTGATAGATTGCATTTATTGTTTTTTGTTTCCATCCAGTTTGATGGTAACTGATAGCTCTTAATCCACTCTAATTCCTTGAACTATTGTTTTTTTCTTCTCTATAATGTGAAATTTTTCTGTCTTTTTGTCAC